AGAAACTAAATGGGTGTTGAGAACACTTACATGAGGAGTTTTGATCCTTCTACTTCCAAGATCTTATTAGTAACTCTCCTTACTACCCACCATATAAATATTATGATGCTAGTTTGGAGAATTTGATATTGAATCGACTAATAATCCCTTTCTTGATTTTTTTCTTTATTTTCATCCCTTGTCTGCTTGATAGTGTATTGATATTGTTAGGAGAAATTTTGTCTTGGTCACTCATGGGTTAATAAAAGCCAGATACTGGCGAGCAGGTTCTCGCGTTTGAATTTCGCCTTACGCCACTGCCACCTATAACGTCATCGGCAGTTGGTTATGGAAAAGTTGTTCAAACCCCTGCCAAAATAAGAGAATAAAGACAGAGAGATGCATTCACAGAAAGCTATTTGACCGATAACGAGCTTTCCAATTAAATATCGCAAAATAAAAACCGGGAAAAACGAGTAATCACAACAAATACAATAAGTTTCTCCAGAGCCTTTGAGAGGTTAAAATGTATTCATGTAAAAATGCGCAGGCACTGGGAATTTCAAGAGACCAAGTCGCTCTGGTTTTCAGTTTTGGATGTGATTGGTTGAAAAGATAGTGAGAGTCAACCAAACCAATCGTCATAGAGCGAAGCGGGGACGAAAACAACCCAGTCAATGATTATTGTAAACAGTACAGTACAATGCAGCTCTTCTTAAGTGAAAATGGTCACCCCGAGGCACGCCAAAAGATGTGTTAATTAGCCTTTTTTAACCCAATTTTGAAAGGTGTGCCCCTCTTTGCCTGTTTGTTCGTGATTTGCAACAGGTTTCCAGTCTTAAGCATGGGGTCTCTGTTAGATACGTAGTTTAGACCTTTTTGTGGATCTTTCGTTTTCTTCTCTGCACAGGCGAGCAACCATTTAAGATTCTTCACGGTGATTATATTTATGATGGCCACAGTCTCTGTTATTCTCAAAAAAGTCAATTGAAAATTGTCCTTCTAGACAGTACATCCTGGTTGGGTGGCGTTCTGTCTGATGGTGCGCATTCATGTATTTGCAGTCCTTTCAACCATTAATATTCTCTCTTTCGTTAATTTTCAACATCTAATTAATTGAACTTCCCTCATAAGGTTACTCGTTAACACACGAGTTATCTAATTTTACTCAAAAATTGTACTTCAACAAGAAAAATTCAAAAATTCCAAAGCGAACTTAACTATCAATAAACCAAAGGATCTTCGATGGTTTCTTAACCGAGGGTAACAAAAAAGGCGAATATTAGAGCCAAGGCACCCAAAGTTCATTGTAGTGTGCAAAATTCTCGTAAGCAGGAATTGTTCTTCAGGTGAACGCCAGTCCTGCCATCAGATGAGTACACGCCTTCATGTGCTTTACGAAACCATCGGAATCAGTTGGAACTGGCCGAAAGTGGACCGAACTACTTGCCACCGGTAGAAATTGTTTGAAAGCAGACGGAACAATTCGCCATAGGACGGATGCTGGTTCGAAATTAAATAGAACTGTGTCATACTGTTTGGAGCCGTCGACAAATCGCGGTTCAAGTGATTGTGAGTAACTCCTTAAATAACATTTTAGTGAACAGAGAGGACTATTCGCATGAGAACTCAATTTTCCGCGCTGTGTGCCATATTTTTATTGTAACTCTGATGGTAATGTGAAATTAGATGAAACAATATCCCCTCATTCATATTTTCTTTCTTCTTATAGCCTTTTTGCTGGGGAATGTGTCCATACAATAAAGATGAGTTCAGTTCTGTTTGGTCACCCCTTGGGAGTGAAAGGGATAAAAGAGAATGATTACGCTGGATGAATTTCACACTCAAACCATGGAGGTAAACCGTTGATTGTCCGAATATTATATCATTTGACGAATAGCACAAGAGATGTAAATTATAATCATTTCAACATAAGAAGCAACAGTTTTTTTATACTCAAGCGAAAGCGAATATGCACTGGAAGAGGGAACATTACAGCGCAAAAGTACTTTTTAGTATCTTTTAGCTCTGTTCTGTATCATTTCTGGGTAAAGATGCACGTGCACTGTGTGTCGTTCAGTCACGGAATCGCCATAAATCAACCAAAAGTGCGATTCAATATTGAACGGCCCAGAGCAAAAGTCGTCTGAAATAACAAAGAGTTTGATCGGCAGAAGTTGTTGGGAGACATTCAATTAATGAAGCGAGAATAGAAAATGTTTTTCATCAGCCGTCAACTTATCGATTTGCAGCCATCTAATCATATCATTTATACATAACGCAAAAAACGGTACGTGTTTAGTCCGTGTCGAAGATATAATACATGCATTCTCTTCTCGATGAAAATCAGTCACCTCTGTGGTAGCAGCCATGTTCCGTGCTCGTTTCCGAGTTAAATTTTTTAAGTCAATCTTTCCAGAGTGGGTTTCAAAAGCATTTTGCAATGCTTGTCTCTCGAAACTTGTTCTTGAAAAACAAGTTCTGTTGAAGAGAAGCAGTGCGTGGCGTGATATTTCCGGTGCCCACGAGGAGGGAGTGAAACTGGGGTGGGGTTAGTGAGAGAACAGAGCATGTTCTTCGAACGATCTTTGAACGATGACAGCTACTTTACGTTCCGATTGACTAAAATTTAGTTAAATTGATAAAGATATGATTCCTGGATTCGATGTAGCTAAGGTGTACGAGGAAAGAACCCATAAAAAGGGCAACTTTGTTCATGATGACATATGTACTTGTTTACGTCACGCTCGGGTTCTTTGCAAAGAGTGTTTTTGAAAGAACTGCAAAGCGTCGAAAACAATATGATAATTTGGCTTTCAAGAGATGTTTGCCATTTTAATTTAAACTCATTTACTGCCTTACAGACCATCAAGGGATTTTTGGAGAGAATGGCGATGTCATTTTTCACGCCCTTGTAGACGACCAGCCTTTGGAGCGCAGAAAGATTGATGTTCAACTGAAGCGATCAAAGATTCTTTGCATGTGTTTTTGTCGATTCCCACCGGTAACATATTTCGATTTGTAAGTGAACACTTCATGTCTATTTTCTATCAGTCTGCAAGCCATTTTGTGAAAGTTTTCCCGCTTCGTGATATCGATGCACGACGGTTCGTTCGAACCAATGATTAACTTGACAAAGGTGTTGTAGAACTGATGAATACGCTAATATTTGAACTTTAGATCTCGAAATTCCACTGCAAATATAGTGCAGGCAAGCTGCTTAGATGTTTGACTTGTCTCTGAAATATCATTCCCTCCAAAATCATTCTCTGTTCATTGGATATGAAAAGAAAGCTTTATCTTTGGCTATGCATAATCACCGTCTTATGATACAAACAGGTTTTTGTATAGCTTTTCCACTCCCTCCAAAAACAGCTACTAAGTGCCAATAATTCCAACTCCATTGTAGCGGTCGTTGATTTATCAAAGAGTATCTTTGGACTTGACGGAGAAATCACACGATGGCTGAGGGGAATCTTCATTAATCTGGAGTAGCTATAAATGAGATAACGCCGGATGCTGACCTTATAAGTCATGGAATCCCAGAAACCTGTCTGAATACTTTACCACTTCTTCTACGTAGTAGGACACGTCAGAGAACCACGTCACATGAGTAAGAACACAAGTCACCATCATGACGTCACTTGATGATGTCATCAAACTTACCATGAGGAAGTTAAGTCACGATTTTTGATAAAAAATACTTTTAATAAGCAAGGTCTGATGAATATGTTTGTCGGAAACACGTTCAACGGCGCGTAACAACGAATTTCCGGTCCTCCCATATAGGGGGTTCATTTCAGCTCAGGCTCGTTTTGGGAAATCAATGTCGATTTTCGAGGTTTTTTGAGAACATTTTATCGGTTTTTCTTCAACAATTTCCATAACCTTCCACTTCTTACCTTTTCTCTGACTTAAAAACTACACTACTATATAAATTTTTTCATTTTATGCCAGAAGAAAAGCATTTTGCAAGGTGAAATATATCGCAAATTTTGGTTGTTTTAATAGAATGAACGTGTGATAACAGTTCAATTAAGCATCAGTTATCCTTAATTTAATACACTACAAGTGGATAATCGAGGCTACATGCAACCATGAATGTATTACAATGGAAGGAATACGACTTAACGACAGATTTTTGCAGCCTCAAAAAAGGTAGCACCTTTAAGACGATAGTTCGTCTCCTAAGGACACAACGAATCAACATGAACCACCTTGTTGAGCGGTATATTGCGTCAGCAAAGTGCACGTCCAAGTAAGACTATATGCCTGGTTCCTTCTTCACATTTTTACCTTAATGAGGGGCACGTTGTCAGTTCCTCAATTGTAAAGATTTGCATTATCCTAGATCCTGAGCTCAGTGCATAAGTTTATAAATTCCACAAATCGGACCCACTGAGAAGAGGGGGAAGGAAAATTTGAGATAATGCTGTTTCTCGTTTCA